CCCCTTAATAAAATATATCACCTTTACGACAGATTGTTTGTTGTTCTTCATATTTCTAAGCTGGGATTTGTTTGGTTGGATTTTTTGTTTTGTTTTGTGAGGGTTTTTTTAGAAGAAAACGTTTAATACCCAGTGCAAACTGGGCTTTAAGTTCTGAATGGAGATTACACTTGCTCGACTGGTAAGTCTGCATGAGCGATCGGATCGGATGAGAAAATCGGGCGGTTCAGAGAGTACACTATCAAACAATATCCATAGTGACACTCATAATGATTACATACCCACATACTGGAGAAATCTGGCGCTTGGCGAAATAATTAAATCGAAGAAACCGGTATTTTTTTCCCACAAGTTGGGCAATTTGCACCAATACTTTGTTATTGGTATTTTTTTGCCCAACTTCAGGGGGGGGGGGGGGGTTGTGTGTGTATGTTAGTAGAGGTTTTACTACGCTTGCAACTGCTTAAGGTCATGTTAGCGCCATGCAGCAAAATGTTTAATGTTCATTTAAAAAAACGTTTTTCTGTGTGAATTATAATTATAAAGAAAAATCCTTGATTAAAGGCACATTGAAAGGTAAATTTGCAGTTCCCAAAGAATTTTGTTTAAAGGTTTGGAAATCACCAATATTTGACGGCCATCTTCTCGCTAATTTTATCTTTAACGCAAGGCGACCCCCACCTCCTTCAATCGTATACATGTATATCACTACTTCGTTTCAAGATAGATGGGTATTTCTTTAATCAAAATAAGACAAATGAACAAACTAATGCACACGCTTTAAGATGATACCAAACCAATAATTCCATATGCCCAACGATTGACGAGCGTCTGATTCCACCGCGACGTGACACAAATTCTTCAGCGTCAAATTACGGGTTTAGTTTAGTTTTAGTAAGAGTTTTACGGTACTTGCAATACAATAAGGTCATGAATGTAAGTGTCGAAGATTAGAGGCCTTACTTTAGAGAAAAAGAGGGAGAGAGAGAGAGAGACAGAGAGAGACAGAGAGAGAGAGAGTGAGAGAGAGAGAGAGAGAGAGAGAGAGAGAGAGAGAGAGAGAGAGAGAGAGACAAAGAGAGAGAGAGAGAAAGACAGACAGACAGACAGACAGACAGACAGACAGACAGACAGACAGACAGACAGACAGACAGACAGACCCTGAGAAGGCCTAGGCACAGGCGTATATAAAGCGCTTGTAAATAAACTTTAGATCTAGATCTAATTCGTGTGTGCTTAGTTCACAACCCGACGTTCTGTCAAGTCTCTGCAATAGTTTGCATTGCTTTTCATCTAGCTCTTCTAAGCTGTCACGTACTTTCTTTTTCCTTTCTTGTTATTGTTATTGTCACTGAATGTCATGCAGAAGGGAGTATACTTCCAGCGTTTTCGAGCGCAACTAAATCGGATTTGATTATCTTAGCTCGCAAAGCTTGAAAATTTACTCACGTCTGCACGCAGGACACGCCTGGGCACGCACAATAGATATACCTATTCATTGTTCTCTAAGCATCTCTCTATCTTTCTCTCGTCCCCTCCCCCCTTTCTCTCTCGTCCCCTCCCCCCTTTCTCTCTCTTTCTCTCTTTCTTTCTTTCTCTCTTTCTTTCTTTCTTTCTTTCTTTCTTTCTTTCTTTCTTTCTTTCTTTCTTTCCTTCTCCTTCTCCTTCTCCTTCTCCTTCTCCTTCTCCTTCTCCTTCTCCTTCTCCTTCTCCTTCTTCTTCTCCTTCTTCTTCTTCTTCTTCTTCTTCTTCTTCTTCTTCTTCTTCTTCTTCTTCTTCTTCTTCTTCTTCTTCTTCTTCTTCTTCTTCTTCTTCTTCTCTCTCTCTCTCTCTCTCTCTCTCTCTCTTTTTTTCCTCCCTTCCTCTCTCCCCTCTCTCTTTGCTTTTTATCTATTTCTTTCATTGACACTTAATAACAATGTGCGTGCTGACGTGAGCAAATTTCAAGCTAAGCCAGCGGCATTGAGTAAATAAAACGCTCTCTTTGCGCTTGACCCGGCTCGAGTCACGCAGCCAGTCGCCTTTGTCTTTGTATTAATGTTCGCTGCTGCGCTCTGCTGTGCCCGCTCTGCTTGCAGTGTGGCCAGAGCGAGCGCAGCAGTGAAAATTAATACAAAGACAAAGAGGTGACTGGTGGTCACAGAATTCTACACTTATAGAACGGGAACTGTAC